TCCAAAGGTATGGCTTAAGGGGCAGTGTTACAGTCATCTTTAGAATCCATGCTCCCTACTCATCTCTTGGTTACAGGCATCAGGATTTAATAGGCATATCCCAGATTGTGGTGTCATTCACAGATTGGTTTCTTCCAAAAAGCATGGGAGAGAAAGTGGTATCTGCAAGACAACTGAGTAAATGTGTTCTTTGTACCTCCGTCATCAGAATATCAACTATCCAGGGCCGGCCCAGTGGTGCACTGCTATAGTGCGCCGCTTGGGAAGTGCGGTGGCGCTCCCACCGAGGGTTCGGATCCCACATACAGACCGGCCGCTCACTGGCTGAGCGAGGTGCAGGAGCAACACCGAGGGTTGCGATCCGTTGCCAGTCACGAAAAAAGACAAAAAGGAAAAAAAAAAAAGAATATCAACTATCCAAATGTGAATATTTCTTAAGGTTTGAGGTTTTGGTTTATAAGTTAATTTTTTCCCTTATTTTAAAATTATTTATAAAAATAATGTTAAGTACCAAAGTTTTAGAGTATTTCCTTCCAGTCTTTTTAAGCTGTTGGTGGAGGGGGAATGGTGGTGTTATTTTATGTGTTGTAAAATACTAAGTGTATTTTTCTGTCTTGCTTTTTTTTTTTTTTTCCCTTTTTGTCTTTTTTTCGTGACCGGCAACGGATCGCAACCCTCAGTGTCACGCCCGTACCGGACCGGGACCGGCAACAGGATCGCAACCCTCGGTGTTGCGTCCGCACCTCGCTCAGCCAGTGAGCGGCCTGTCTGTGTGTGGGATCCGAACCCTCGGCGGGAGTGCCGCCGCGCTCTCAAGCGGTGCACTGTAGCAGTGCGCCACCGGGTCGGCCCTCTGTCTTGCTTTTTTTCACTTAACATTGACACATCCGATCTCCCTACTGACCAGCCACCCCCAAAAAAGAAAACATTGACACAAATTTGTAAAAACAGGACTGTAATCATGATCTAGCTTCCTTCCTCAGTTATTCCTATGGACGTATATCACCTTCCAAAATTATAAAAAGTAGTACTCCATGGAGTCTGCAATGTGTGACTGAGGCAGACTAGAAAGTCCAAGAAAAGTACTAATTTTTTTTTTTTTGGCAACTGGTGGGTATGGGGATCTGAACCCTTGACCTTGGTGTTATAACACTATGCGCTATCCAACTGAGCTAACCAGTCAGCCCCTTTTCTGGTTTGTTTATAAGGTCGTCTCTAGTCTATCTACCCTTGGATTTAGCATTCTTCTTTATCTATCTTCCCCTTCAGAAGGCCAAGATGGGAGTTTTACTAGCTAGGGAGTATCATTACCTCCTCTCCTCTTACATATATATACATATGTGTATATATATGTATATGTGTGTGTGTGTGTGTGTATGTATTTTTTTTTTTTTTTCCGTCATTGCCTATTAATCATAGCCATTGTGAACCTTAGAACCTACTGAATGTACTTTAAGTTGAACTGATGCAGTCTGGAGTTAGAGAGTAAGCACAGGCTTTGGAGAAAGTCAAACCCAGGTTTTCAATCTTGGACTCTGCCAGCATTAATAGATTAGTGACATACATAAATTAAATGACAAACCTCAGGAAACTGATAACAATGTGCCACTTATGCAGTCAACAATTATTTATAGAGAGCCTCTTAAGTACTAGGTGCTATTCTAGATGCTTTTCTAGATACAGTAATGAACAAAACAAACCCAGTGTCTGTTTTAAAAGAGTTTATATTCTAGTGGGGTGGGGAGAGATAGACATAAAACAGATGGTAATGATGGTGGTAAAGAGTGAGGGAAATAAGGGTGCTGTTTTAGATAGGCAGGTCAAAGAAGTCCACCTTCTTAGGAAGTGACATTCAAGCAGAAATCTGAATGAAGTGAGGGAGCTAGAAAGACAGGCAGATATCTGGGGCAGGAGCATTCCAGGTAGAGGGAATGTAAGTACAAAGCCCTGAGGTGGGAGTGTGCTTGGCTTGTTGAAGGATCTGCAAGGAGACCGCTGTGGCTGGAAGTAGATTCAGCAAAAAAGGGCAGGGTAGGTTAGAAGATGAGGTCAGAGGTAGTAGTGACAGATCACGGAGGGCCTCGGCGTTCATGTTAGGATTTTGTGTTCTAAGTGAGATGGAAGTCATTGGAGATATTTGAGCTACTATGACTTTCAATTAAAAAAGTAAATTAATTCTGGCTGTTGTCTGGAGAATAGATTGGTTGATAAGGCAAAGGTGAAATAGACCATTTAGAAGGCCGTTGTTGTAATCAAGGCTACAAATGATGAGATGACAAGTGAGGTTTATTACCTATCTTCAAGAAAGGTTGAGAAACCCGATTGGGAAAACATCACTAAAGACCCCCCATACATCCCATTTCACAGTATTAGCCTCCAGTTTAAGTTAATTCCCTTCCTTTCCTTAAGAGTTTGCCCTCAGCTATATGAGGACCATACGGGAGAGGTTATTAAATAGACATCAGCATTCACAAGGGAAGGGATTATAAACAGTACCTCAGTCTCTTGTTCCAACAAAAGACCTTTTATTTCTTAAGGCACTGCAGTTGCACACTGTTCATTCTGTTATCCCACCCACCAGAGACCTAAAAAGACTGAATCTGTGCCAGAATTCTTGGGCAGCTCTGTTCATATTGAGACATTCAATTGTCAGTTCTTTCTGCAGTTGCTATCTAAGACACAGTTTGAGCAGCCTCTTTTACAAAATATCTTTTGAGCTACCTGGTCTTGCAAGCTGGAACTCTCTGATACTCATCATGACAAGGTAGTTTCACATACCTTAGAGCCTTCTGAGGGAAATAAAGAGGTTTTGTGGCTTTTGTTTAACATTGGAGCTTTTCCCCACTCCTTTTTTGTTATGATCTAAATCTGTAATATGCCACCTTGATTTCTGGGTTTCGCAGTATGGGAAGGGAAGTTCATGTATTTTACTACATTCTACTTATTTTAGAAAAGCTTATTCCTGGTACACAAGGAACTTGCGTTATTGACAGGACTTCCATCGCTAAGGAAGATCACATCAATGTCGGCTTGCTTGGGCTGTGTATATCTTTTTTTTTTTTTTTTTTTTTTTCGTGACTGGCAACGGATCGCAACCCTCAGTGTCGCGCCCGTACTGGACCGTGACCGGCAACGGGATCGCACCCCTCGGTGTTGCGCCCACACCTTGCTCAGCCAGTGAGCGGCCGGTCTGTATGTGGGATCCGAACCCTTGGCGGGAGCGCCGCCACGCTCCCAAGCGGCGCACTATAGCAGTGCGCCACCGGGCCGGCCCTAGCTGTGTATATCTTATTGGTAAATGTCACTGATGAAACCCATGCCATCTTGACATAATGTCAGGATCGCCTGGTGTCGGGTCCGCCACCAGCAGCCGACCCGTGCAGCCCTACCCTCGTTCCTTTCAGTGGGCGAGCGAACGGCCCGGGATTCCTCTTTCCCTCCAGTCCCCTTTTGAAGGAGACAGGGGAAGAGAGCGGTGAAGAGAGGTGAGCACACCACTGGCCCCAAACCAGCCCAGTTAAAGGACACTCAGACTCGGTGGGGGTTCTGTCAAGCAGTTCCGTTTATTAACACACAAGCATTGGCTTTTAAAGGTAAATGGCAAAGGCAGGTTTTTTTTTTTTTGTCTTTTTTTTTTACTGACCAGTAACGGGATCGCAACCCTCGGTGTCGTGCCCGTACCAGGGACCGACAACGGGATCGCAACCCTTGGTGTTGTGCCTGCACCACGCTCAGCCAGTGAGTGGGAACCGGTCTCCACATGGGATCCGAACCCTCGGCGGGAGCGCCTCCACGTTCCCAAGCAGTGCACTCTCCAGTGCGCCACCGGGCCGGCCCAATAATCTTTTTTTTTTTTTTTTTTTTTTTGTGACCGGTAAGGGGATCGCAACCCTTAGTGTGGTGTCACCCACACCGCGCTCAGCCAGTGAGCGCACCGGCCATCCTTATATAGGGTCCGAACCCGTGGTGGGAGCGCCGCTGTGCTCCCAGCGCCGCACTCTCCCGAGTGTGCCACGGGGCCAGCCCCAAAGGCAGGTTTTTTACATCCTCCAATCAGCTTAAGGGTTAAGGGCATGCATCCTGTCTCAGTACCTAGCTATTGCAATTACGTAGTGTTCACAAGTGCGGCCAATAAGGGCTAAGGCAAGGTTCCCGCAGACACTTCCACCCTGCTTTCTCCCGGTGCCGTCTTAGGCTGCCACGTTAATCCACTTGTAATGTCACTTTAAGGTGGTGTTAGTTTTTTTCAGTGCGCCACCGGGCCGGCCCTCAAGGTGTTAGTTTTTTAAAGGCCCAACAGCCTGCCCAGGAGAGGACTGCTGGCAGCCTACTGCTACCTCCTTGCTTTACTCTGGAAGCAATGTTTTTTTTTTTTTTTTCTTTCCTTTTTTGGGTCCAGGAGGTCTAATTGTGTAATAGGCAATAGGAAGAGTGAATTCCCAGAAATCTACAAATAGCATTTACTTTAACAGTGGTTATAGGCTGGTCAGCTAGCTCAGTTGGTTAGAGCGCAGTGCTGATAACACCAGGGTCCAGGGTTTGGATCCTCTTACCAGCCAGCCATCAAAACCAGAAATAAACAAATAAATAATAAAATAAAGTGAATCTAGATTACTGGATCACAAATGAGACTTTGGGTACCATTGCAAGCTGTATACTGTACTGCCTCTGGAAATGTCTGACTGACCTGGCCCCCAAGCAGGGCTGTAAATAGACCTAATCAGGCCCTGTGAGGGCTGGCTTTCTTCAGGAACACCAAGACCTTACAAATCCACCTGTATTTTCCAATTATTTGTGTGAATAGGTATTTTCCAGTTTTTATTTCTTCCACCCACTCATCTGTGCTAACTGAAATATCATTTTAGCCATAGTAATAGTTAGCAAATTGTTGCTACAGATAAAGATATATTTTCAACCAACATGCTGCTAATTAAATTGCTTATCTTTCTAAACTTGGGCTTCTATTGCTTATATCCTACGTCCTTGATATTTTCCTTGAATGAGGTGCCTTGTGTTCCATGACCTTATTTTTTGTTTATTACAGTGTGAACCACTGCCCCATGTTGTGTTGATGCCAGTCTGCCATGCTAGCCTGTCTACCAGGGCCAGGTGACCTGTCCTTTCAGCTTCTTTCTCACACGCAGATGAACACTGGACTTCAGAAATGTAAGTAATCTGGATCCTAGGACAGGATGTGTGATCCTTTATTTTGTCCCTACATTTGTGCTATCCCAGAGGCTCATCTGGAGTACATTAACCTTGAGTTTTGGGACTCCAAGGTATTCTTCAGCAGAGACAGCAAGAAAGCAGCTGCAGAGGCTCTACCTGTCAGCAGTGTGAGACACTTTTCTGATCAGAGAGATCCTCTTAAATACTAAAATTCCCCCGTGTATATCATCTTTTTTTTTTTTTCTTTTTTGTCTTTTTACGTGTCCGGCAATGGATCGCAACCCTCAGTGTCGCCCCCGTACTGGACCGGGACCGGCAACGGGATCGCAACCCTCGGTGTTGCTCCTGCGCCTCGCTCAGCCAGTGAGCGGGAACCGGTCTGTATGTGGGATCCGAACCCTCGGCGGGAGCACCGCCACACTTCCCAAGTGGCGCACTATAGCAGTGTGCCACCGGGCCAGCCCATATATCATCTTAATTTTAATTGTTGCTGATAGTTTTCTGTTGAGCTACAAAGCTGTATGGAGCTTTACAGGATATATACACATCACCTTTGAAAAAGGTGTTTCAGTGTGAACTTCCATGAGGAGCTGAAAGAAAACTCACAGTCCAGATTACTTACTGTGTCTCTGAAGTAAACTATTTACACCGTTCTTATGTTTTGAACTCTGAGTATACTCTGCCGTGGAAACAGACAGTTCTCTTTGGCTTTGTTGTCTGCCTTCTGAATCAGTGTGACTTCAGTTCACAGCAAATAAAGGAGCTTTTGCCCCCAGAAGGGATGGGGAGCTAACTTTCTCAGTCTCTGAGTATTTTCCTGCTAATATACTTTCCACAAGATTGAGGCTTTGAGATCTCTCTCTTAGATTCCTGTCTTAACTGACTGGAATTGGGGTTTTATACTTCATATTTTCCCAGATTCCTACACTACTGTTCTTGGTATATAAGAAGAGATTCTGTTCCTTGCTCATTACCATGTGTAGTATCTTCAAGTGTAAAAACAGCCCTAAATTTGGAATAAACCTCCCTTTCAGAGCAAAAGATGGAGAAACCAGTGAAGCAGTTATGCTTCCCTGTTAGTAGGAAAGGGTGCTTCAGCACCTTACTTGAATCCTTTATGACAGGGGTTGGCACATTTTTTCTGTAAAGGCCAGATAGCAAGTATTTTTAGTTTTGTGGGCCATATGGTCTCTCTTGCATCTACTCAGCCCTGCTGTTGTAGGGCAAAGGCAGCCATAGACAGTATATAAGCAAATAAGTATGGCAATGTTCCAGTAAAACTTTTTACAAAACACACAGTAACTGGACTTGGCATGAAGGCTGTAACTTGCCGACCCATGCTCTATGAGATGATCATAAGTTAAGATTGTCTAGCCTCTTGACTTCATTTCTTTGAGGGAGTATAAGACTCAGAGCCTGGCTAGTTCTGGTGTTTGGCTGATGAATTCAACTCTGTGTAATGACAAATCTGAAGGTGACAGTCGTCCTTCTACAGCTGCCTGACACAATAGGCAATCTCTGCTATAACAGCTTTCCTAACCTAGCCTTTCTCTTAAATGATAATTGGGTGATGAAGTTGTATGGGCTCCCTGGCCACCCAGATCAGCATACTTAACTGCATTGTGCCTAGTTCTGGGCTTCCAGGGACAGAACTGGAAAGGGAGTATTCTTGGAGGCATACAATAAGATGACAAAGGGAAACTCAGTCTCTTTCTTCTAGCTTCTTTAACACATACTGACAGCTTCTGACAGAGATGTGGTATCAAGAGAAGAGCTGTTTGGGAGGGGAGGCAAATTGGCAGCTTTATCTCAGTGCTGACCTTAGATCTCCACTCTCTAGACTTTAGATCTCCCCACAGTAGCCTCCAAATAGCCTCTGCCTACCACTGTCCCTAAATCTGGATTCAAGAATTGAGATATCCTTCTTCCCTGTTTTCAGGCTCATGTATCTGTGTGGGGGACAGTGTATTTGATCCCTTCAGATTCTCTATGTTGCTGTCCTTACATACACTCAAATCTTTGCAGAAGAGAGGGCTTAATGGTGTTTTTAAGCTTGCCTGCTTTTTTCTCTCCTCCCGCAAAATGTGTAAGAAAAAAATTCTGTCATAGCTGTTAGCATTAAACATTTGCCATTAAGGTGAAATGGAGCATAAGCTGTCTCCTTTTTTTTTTTTTTTTTCCTTTTTGTCTTTTTTCGTGACCGGCAACGGATCGCAACCCTCAGTGTCGCGCCCGTACGGGACCGGCAACAGGATCGCAACCCTTGGTGTTGCGTCCGCACCTCGCTCAGCCAGTGAGCGGCCGGTCTGTATGTGGGATCCGAACCCTCGGCAGGAGCGCCGCCGCACTCCCAAGCGGTGCACTGTAGCAGTGCGCCACCGGGCCGGCCCCATAAGCTGTCTCCTTTGAGATCCAATAGCCAAGCAGCTGCTCAGAGCCCAGGCCCATCAGCTATAGGGATCTTAAAAGCAGTTTTGTGACTGTCATATGCAACTTTTCCCTACCCACCGTAGAGGGTCTTATAAATTGCTGGGAAACACAAAGTTTGGAATCTGATGGGTGGGGAACAGGTATTTATAGCTTAAAGTGCTTTATATTATAACAGTTTGAGGTAGGAGAGATGGGCCAGGGATCAGGAGATGGGATATATGGTTTCTTGGCCCAGCACTGTGAATTATCTGGCTAATGGCTTTTCCCCAGGCTTAGCTGCCATGTGTTCAGAATTACAGGATTAGGGCTGGCCCATGGCTCACTTTGGGAGAGTGTGGTGCTGACAACACCAAGTCAAGAGTTAAGATGCCCTTACCGTTCATCTTTTGGGAAAAAAAAAAAAAAGAATTACAGGATTGATCCCGTCTAACTCTTTTTCTCTTCTCCCCATCCTTTTCTATGTGTGTAGGAGAGTGTGATATGTTTCCTTCCTAAATGTGTAATTTGTCGTAAGGCAGGCTGAATTAAAGAACATCATGGGGCCGGCCCGTGGCTCACTCGGTAGAGTGCGGTGCTGGTAACACCAAGGCCGCGGGTTCGGATCCCTATATAGGGATGGCCGGTTTGCTCACTGGTTGAGCGTGGTGCTGACAACACCAAGCCAAGGGTTGAGATCCCCTTACCGGTCATCTTTAAAAAAAAAATAAAATAAAATAAAGAACATCATGGCTGTGGGTGGGTCCTGTGCTTGGTAGAGGACCACAGCTGGGGTTAGGTGGATGCCCTCCTGGAGCTTTTCTTTTAGAGTTTTAGCTATTTTGGAACTCTGCACTTGGAAATTTTGTTTTCCTTTGACCCATCTTTTCCCAATGCCCCAGAAAATGTGATTTTGACTTTTTTCTTCCTTAACCTCAAGCCTCTACTCCTTATTTCCCCACCTCAGGATCAGGTATATAATAGAGGCTCAGTAAATGTATACTGTGTGAATGGCTGAAATAATTAAAGGTCCTTGGTCCTCAAACCATCATTCATTCATTCATTCATTTTTTTTTTTTTTTAAAAAGATGACCAATAAGGGGATCTTTTTTTAAAAAAGATGACCGGTAAAGGGATCTCAACCCTTGGCTTGGTGTTGTCAACACCACGCTCAGCTAGTGAGCCAACCGGCCATCCCTATATAGGATCCGAACCCGTGGCCAGCACTGCACTCTCTCAAATGAGCCACGACCTGGCCCTCTCAAACCGTCTTTTGCATAACAACTTTGACCTCCCTCATGGCAGAGCCTTTGGGGTCCTGGGACAAATGCCGAAACTACCATTTACTGTTTCTTTATATGTATATGTGCCCCCTAGTGGAGGGGCCTAGAAATGGCCCAGTGACTGGATAAACTCATAGAAATATTTGTTGAGTGCTTACTGTGTCCAGGCACTATATTGAGTATTTTTACATATATTATCACTTATTCCTCAATAATTCCATATGGGATACTCTCTTATTTTTCTTTTAAGGATAAGGCATAGAGGACTTGTCACTTTCCAGTGTCACATGACTGTTCAGTGACTGGTCAGGCTCCAAAACCTATGTTTGCAACACACTGCCTGTGCCTCTCCACACACTGATATAGGTTCCTGCTGCATATGCCACCCATGTCTTCTGACTTCAAAACAGAAGGGTAAAAAGGGAGATGTCCGTGGGGAAGACTGGATTCAGGCAGATTTTTTTCCTCCAGTTCCTGAAGTAGACAACAGTGCTTTCTGCTACATTTGACTCTCAGGCTCAAGGCCAGGGGATTCTGCAGTTGGGGCTTCCTTGGTCAGGTTGCTTTGTCCTCTCTGTGGGTAGATTCAACGAAACCTACCATTCTTTTTTTTTCCCCTAAAAGATGACCAGTAAGGGGATCTTAACCCTTGACTTGGTGCTGTCAGCACCACGCTCTCCAAGTGAGCTAACCGGCCATCCCTATATAGGGATCCGAACCCATGGCCTTGGTGTTATCAGCACCACACTCTCCCGAGTGAGCCACGGGCCGGCCCCCAAACCTACCATTCTTGAATAATAACTATCGACAATCATGGTTTCTGTTCACATAGCATTTTCCTCTTCATTTAATCTCTTGATTTTAGTAATTCTGTGAAGTAGGAGAGCAGGGAATGTCCCTGTTGATAAATGAGGAATGACTGAGACTCTCAGTAGGCAGATGATGAAGCCAATGCTTGAATCCAGATATCTTTAACATTTTTCTCTCCATAGATTCCCTGTTCTCTACACTGCCTTATGTCTCTGTTAATGATACCATTGGTACAAGATATTTAAGTAAGTTGCTTGCAAAGCTATGGTATCTGTGTTGGCTATGCAGTTAGCGGAATATGTTACAGAAGAAAGAAAGGTGCCAGAGTGCCTGCATGGTGGCTGTGATAAGAAAGTGTTCAGGGCCGGCCCGGTGGCGCACTCAGTAGAGTGCGGTGCTTGGGAGCGTGGCAGCGCTCCCGCCGAGGGTTCGGATCCCATATAGAGACCGGTCCGCTCACTGGTTGAGCGCGGTGCGGGCATCTGAGGGTTGCGATCCTGTTGCCGGTTGTGGTACGGGCGCGACACCGAGGGTTGCAATCCCGTTACTGGTCACGAAAAAAGACAAAAAGGAAAAAAAAAAAAAGAAAGTGTTCAGAAGAATTTGTGTTTTGTTGTTGTTTTTTAAGGGTTTGGCTTATGTCTGGTTTATGAGGTGGGTTGTGCTGTATTCCTGAGTGTGCACTCTTTCTTTTCAATATACTCATTTCATCCTTGGGGTTCTTCCTTAAAAAAAGACACTGTAGCTGTATGTTCACCTTCTCCACCTTCATTTCCCTTTAATTCTGATTCCTTTGTTTGACTGTGCTCTTACCAGTTGCTGACACAGTGGAGATGGGATAAAGAGAAACTAATCAATGTAAGTGTCCCAGTCCATACTCCTGAATGAGGCCAAGCTACCTTCTTGCTAGAAAAAAACAACCTGAGAGTTGGTACTGACTTGAACAAAGGAACTTTTTTGTTCAACTCTTTGGTTCACCTGTGCCACTGTCTCTTTAACTTAGATTTCAAGGAGAGAAGCCCACCAACATGGAGGTAGGATAGAGGGAAAACCAGAGGCAGACCTTCATTTCCTGTCTGAACTAAAACCCAGCAGCTTCTCACTCCCATTTCTTAGCTGTAAAATTTGTGTTTTGTTGTAGTTTAAGGGTTGGGCTTAAGTCTGGTATGTGAGGTGGGAGGAGGTGCTGTACAGTTACCAAGCATTTACTACATGTCTGCTCTGGGTAAGACACTATGCTAGGAGTGTCACATGATTTTGACTAATCAGACACCTAAGTACAGTGGCTGACTAGGGAAGCTTCTATTGGAATTCGGGTGCCTTCAGTTTAGGGACTATCAGTGATCTCAGACATTCATTCATTCATTCATTCATTTAATCTATCTATCTGTCTGTCTGTCTGTCTATCTTTTTTGCCCAGGAGAATTTAAGGAGGGTCAGAAAATAGCTCCACTTTATGGTGACTGAAGTCAGTTGAGGATCAGTGGCTTCTAAGAAACAGCAGAACTCAAACTCAGCTCTTAGGGCTTTGACTCTGACCATAGGCAGTGCTACTTAACAGATGGGAGAAAATTTCTGGGTGTCTACCTCTTCCTTCTTCCTGCCCTCAGTTATCATCATCACATTCATCCTTGAAAGACCTTCCCCAAATTAGCCATTTCAAAAACATTTCATTTATGCATGAGTATCTATTCTGTACTCAGTAAATAAAGCAGATCCTTAAATATGTTGGAGCGTCTAAAGTACGGGGTATTGAGCAAATATTTGAAAGCACAGACCTTTTCCTTTCTGTTCGTACCCTTTTTGCTCAGGTCTGCCTTTTTTAGCATGGGACCAAATCTCCCCCCATTCTGGACTTGAGCTTTCTTTTCCTGCCTCCAAAACAGCAGTTTCTAAGCAGTTGCTGCCAGCTAACCCCAGCAATGTCAACAAACGGAGGCAGCTTTCCCCTTTTTCTTCTAACACACTCAGTAGCCTACTTCTGTTTCATTTTATACCCAGTGACGTGACTTTGAATGGGGTCTCCTTTGGGCCAAGGCCAGCTGAGGCTACCAGCTGGGCATTTAGTCAGATTAGTCCTTGGTCTATGCTGGCTGCCTTCTACAAGGACAGGAAATGGGGAGGAGGGAGTCAGCTAGCTGAGCCTAGGCTCCCAGCCAAGCCACTTGCCTTCTGCTTTGGGCAGTTTGTGTACTTACTCATGCAGCAAGCACTTATTAAGCACCTTTTGTGTATACTCAGGGGAGACCCTCCCTCAGAGAGAGGGAGAACAGAGCAGAGACCCTTGAAGGAGACTGGCGTCCTTAAAAAGCTTTTGTTCTCGGAACCTTTTTCTTTTTGACTGGAAGCCTGACATCCGCTGGAGCCCCCTGATGGGAAGCAACAGGAGATGGGAACAAAGAGACTGTTAACATTAATGAGGCACATTGAGTGGGTATTTCCGTAGTCTCCAAAGGAAGGCTGGTTTTTCCTCTTTCTTTTTGGAAAGTGACGGCTGACATGGACCAAATACAGACTATTTTTGGCTCTCAGGACTTAATGATTCTCTGAATCCTTTCTTCTGATTTCTCTCCCTGCTGCCCTGTCATTATCATCATCCTCCACAAGCAAATAAATAAAGCTTTTTGATCTTCACCCAGTCAGAGTAAACTGTAAACAAAAATGAACTTGTGACATGGGGCTGAGGGAGAGATGTTGACAGCATATTCCTCTGCTCCTGGAAAAGAAGCATCCTGTCCACTGTGCCACAGTGCCCACCCAGTGGCCATGTGCCAACTGCCGAGGCACAGGAGAAGGCTGATGCATCATTGGCCACTGCAGACTGAAGAGTAGTGACTCCGGGTGTCCTCTTTGCCATAGTTCATGGGGAAGGGACTAAATGACCACCAAGGGCCCTGACAAGCACCTCTGCTTAGAACCTTTAACCCCCAGGCAAGCATGGGCTGGTAGGAATTTAGAGAGAGTTCTAGTGCCTGCATTTCTGTATAGAGCTCTTGGTTGCCTCTGTGAGGATTGGCCAAGTTCTGGCTCTCAAAGATACGAGACTTCGAAAGTTGTTTTGCTCTTCCGATCTTTTTGTTACCTCATTTATAAAATGGGAATCATGATAGTACCTCCTTCCTAAAGCAGTAATGAGGACTACTTGAAGTAGCCTATCCTTAGCACAAGGCCTGGCCCACTGTTAAGTACTTACTAAATGTTAGCAATACTTGCTATTGTGGGGGCTGAGGCAGGTCTAGAATGAAGGCTACATATGACAACCTAGGTATTTCCCCAAACACCCCACCCCAGACCCTAAAAAGGGGCATCTAGAAGGGCTGGTTGGCTTGGCACTGATGAGCTCCCTTTCCCTCTTTGCTCTCCTTCCCCTTCTCTCTCTCTAGGGGACACTACACAGAAAATGAGAACTGCTCACTATCCTACCCCAGCCGAATTGGACGCGTATGCTAAGAAGGTCGCAAACAACCCACTGACTATAAAAATCTTCCCCAACAGTGTGAAGGTTCCCCAGCGGAAACACGTTCGTCGTACTGTGAACGGCCTCGACACGTCAGCTCAGCGCTACAGCCCCTACCCGACTCAGGCTGCCACCAAGGCAGGCCTGCTTGCCATTGTCAAAGTGCCAGCCAAAAGCATACTCAAGGACTTTGACGGCACCCGAGCCCGGTTGCTCCCTGAGGCCATCATGAACCCCCCAGTGGCGCCCTATGCCACTGTGGCACCCAGCACTTTAGCCCACACCCAGGCCCAGGCTCTGGCCCGCCAGCAGGCCCTGCAGCATGCACAGACCCTGGCCCATGCCCCTCCCCAGACGCTGCAGCACCCTCAGGGTATCCCGCCACCCCAGGCACTGTCCCACCCTCAGAGCCTCCAGCAGCCTCAGGGCCTGGGCCACCCTCAGCCCATGGCCCAAACCCAGGGCTTGGCCCACCCTCAGGCCCTGGCTCACCAGGGTCTCCAGCACCCCCCCAACCCCTTGCTGCATGGAGGCCGGAAGATGCCAGACTCAGATGCCCCCCCGAATGTGACCGTGTCTACCTCAACTATCCCCCTTTCGATGGCGGCCACCCTGCAGCACAGCCAGCCCCCGGACCTGAGCAGCATCGTGCACCAGATCAACCAGTTTTGCCAGACGAGGGCAGGCATCAGCACTACCTCAGTGTGTGAGGGCCAGATCGCCAACCCCAGCCCCATTAGTCGCAGTCTGCTCATCAATGCAAGCACCCGGGTGTCGACCCACAGCGTCCCCACACCAATGCCTTCATGTGTGGTCAATCCCATGGAGCATACCCATGCGGCCACAGCCGCATTGCCTGCCACAGGTCCTGTCAACCTGCCCACAGGTATCTCTCGAGCCCCCACTGGCTACCCTAGCGACCTGAAGCCAGTCGCCTGGAACCAGCACCAGCTGGCCCACCTGCAACAGATGTGCAGTGAAGCTGGTGGGACGCCAGCCCCTGGCCTGACAGGCAAGCATGCGGCAGGACGCGAGTTGGCAGGGCCTGGCTTTGTGGGCAAGGCCCCTGCCTACCCGCAAGAACTCTGCCTGGCACAGTCCTTCCATCTGAAGCCACCCCTGGAGAAGCCAACCCCATCCCCACCAGTCAACGGCCTGGCAGCCCCACTGGCCTACCCCAATGGTCACTTCTTTCAACCCCTGTGGAACAACATTCTGCCCACTCCCAATAGCGACAGCTCGGGGTCTCAGGACCTCACCATGCCATTCCACGGTGGGCAGCCCACAGGTGCACCCCTCGACTGTGCAGCAGCTCCTGGGGCCCACTACCGAGCAGGGACCGGGGGCGGTCCAGTGGCAAGCCAGAACAGCTTGATGCAAACAGTGGATTACCTAAGTGGGGATTTCCAGCAGGCCTGCTTCCGAGAACAGAGCCTGGCCATGCTGAGCAAGGCCCACCGAGTCCCTGGCAACCGAGCCCCTGATCCCACAGATAGTCGAAGTCTTCATATTCAGCACCCAGGGTATAGATAGGGAGCCCTGGTGCCCTCCACATGCAACACGTTGTACGTCGCCCTCCTAGGTTTAGTCTTAATTTTAACTGGATAGTTTCACATTCTCACTGCTCCAATGTGATCACTCTTAGATGTCTAAGAAAGGAAATTTGGTGGGATCCAGTTGGGGACAGAAAGGTCCTCTCATCCTCCCCTCCAGCAACTTTTGGTTTTATATTAGAACCTAACTTGAACCCTAGGCTTTTCTCTCTGCTGCCTTTCAGTCAGTCCCTCCACCTTGGCCATTTCTGACTGGCCTCCTCTCATCCTTTCCTGAACCTTTGCCTCATCTCCCCTAGGACTGAGGTGTGAGCTAAGGGAAGAGCCCCAGGTGAGGTAGCTGTAGGTGCCCAGGCCCCTAACTAGGCCTCTTCCTGTCTCTCTCTCTTTGGGACTAAGAAGCCAGACTTCCCAAGTGCTCTGGAAGCTAATTCCTTATTCACCCAAAGATCTTAAATCAAAACTGACCCAGTCTTCATCTCCTTCCGGCTCCTTTCTATTCCTCAAGACTGTTTTGCATTTACATTTATCCCAGAGCCTCTGTACCTTTCCTTGCCACATGCTTGACCTCAAGGGCATCCTGAAGGTATTTGGCCATAGCTTTGAGATATGGAAAAAAATCTTTGTATTGGCACCTTGGTTCCTGACTCCCCTTTCCAGACCTAGAGAAATGCATTGACCATCCAGCATACCCGAGATTCCTTTCCCACTGCTGCCCCTCCTGACACCTGCTGCCCTCATGTCCTACCCTGTCCTCTGTCAAAAAAAGAAGCAAAACAAAAAACTGCTACCTTACTTGAGGAATTAGGTAGGTAAGGGATGATCACATTGGAGATTGGAATTAAAAACACCAAAAAAAAAAAAAAAAAAAAAAAAAAGCATTCAGTTCTCTCTATACTGGCTAAGAATATTGCTCTACACTGTAAGTTTTAAATGTCATGTTTCATATGGATGTAGTGTGGCTTTGAGTAGCATTGTGTATGATTGGCCCCACAGGTACATTCACACGCTAGTGACCTCCCTTTGCAACCCCTCAGTTTGAAGAAAGAAAAAGAGGAAAAACAAAAAAACACAAAGCCTTAAGCTCTTTGAATTATTCCTTTACCAAATGAACATGGTTCTAACAGCTGGATGGGCCTACATTGGAAACAGCCCTTGCTGTCCCTTGCTTGTTCTTAGATCATACCCTGTCTACTCCATGCGCTGTGTGTTTCATTCTCAAGTGACAATTAGCTAGAAATTTAACACCTTTCTGTAACTTTATCAACATTTTTTTTTTTTTTTTTTTTTAAAAGATGACTGGTAAGGGGATCTTAACCCTTGACTTGGTGTTGTCAGCACCACGCTCAGCCAGTGAGCGAACCGGCCATCCCTATATGGGATCCGAACCCGGGGCCTTGGTGTTATCAGCACCGCACTCTCCCGAGTGAGCCACGGGCCGGCCCGAAAGAAACAATAACTTCTTTCCAAGAGTTGCTGATTTTCAGAAAGTTTAAGTCATAGTCTTCTTTAAAAAGAAAAAAAAAAACCTGGAATAATAGATTTTATAAATGAAATTAAAAGTTCTACAGTTCAATCATAAATTCTTACTTTGAAAAAAATGCCATGTCTAATTTGCTGTCTAAAAATTACTGTTTTTTTTTTTTTTTTGTCTTTTGTCTTTTTTCCGTGTCCGGCAACGGATTGCAACCCTCAGTGTTGCCCCCCGTACCGGACCGGGACCGGCAACGGGATTGCAAGCCTCGGCGTTGCTCCCACGCCTCGCTCAGCCAGTGAGCGGGAGCCGGTCTGCACGTGGGATCCGAACCCTCGGACGGGAGCGCCGCCGCGCTTCCCAAGCGGCGCACTATCCAGTGCGCCACCGGGCCGGCCCTAACTTTAAACTTAGATAATGTTTTGTTATAAATTTTTGCACCCTTCTGTTAAATATGCACAGTTGGGCTTTTTTTTTTTTTTCCCCCTTTTTTTAAAAAACCAAATAAGCCCATACCTTTCCTCTTGTCTTTGGGGAATGTGAGCTAATGTTCTTATTTAAAATTTCGGGTTTATCTTTATTATCCACTGTTCTTTAGACAGAAATTCTCTAGTGATCTGAAGCAATGTGACTGAAGACCCGTTTTTAAATTATGTGTTGGCAAGTTGCCTTATATTTAAAAAGAAAAAAATTCCTGATTGTGTTATGCCAAATGATAGCAACACGAAGTCCTAATTTATTGTTCCCGATTGTCTTCCTGCCGTCTGTGAACACTGGTACCTCCCTGTCCCTGAGCCCTCCAGAGCACCTGCAGCTTCTGGTGCAATGCCTTCTCCCAGAGTGTTGACCACCATCTCACCCAGGGCCCCCTTCCAACTTCTGCTTTCTGAGTCAAATTTAAAGAGCACCCTTATTCCTTGCTTGATCTACAAACCAGATATTCTTGCTGTAATTTTTTCCCCCAATGCCTCTCCCCAAAAGGTGAGCTGCCATTTTAGGAAATTGGACCAGGCACCAACTTGGGGGCTTTTTAAGTCAACCTCAAACTCATCTCTTCCTATGTAGGGGTACAAGTTTCTGAAGCTCTCACTCCCATCCCTAGTCTGCATGGAAAATGTACTGTGATCCCCTTACCCTTCAACTGCCCTTGCCTTTGGTGTGAGATGTTTCCTAGTTCAGCCTGAGTCCTCCCCTTCTGCCAGCCAGCCCCAACCAGCAATAAGGGTCCAAACCAGGGCCTCCTATCCACACTTCCTGCCTCCGTCCCACACTACCCCCAGGGACTACCTGGATTCCCAACTCTATCCACATACTGTAGCATTCATTCTCCATCTCTCTCACCTCACCTGTGGTGGTTTATGGGTGTGATGGGGTTTTTAAGATTATTATAAACCAGTAAAAAAGAAAAAATTCACCTTTGACCTTGTCCTATTCGTTTAATGCTGTGAATGTTTGAGGTAATTTTTTCTTATAACAGTTTCTAACATGTCTCACTTGCTAGAAGGGGAGTGATTCATTTTTAGGAGGGCCTGTATAGATAGCATTTATCCCACTCAGAATCCCTCCCAATCCATTATCCTAGACCACGTGCTGTGGTGATTGTAGGGCATGGGTAGACAGTAAAGCCAACCCCTATGGGGTACCCAGCTGGCCAGTCCTCTCCCCAGGCAGGCCTTAGTGTGGAATTTAATGGGCAAGTATGGTTTGCTGCCCCTTACTGGAGGCCCAGAGTCCTGCCACTTCAAGGCTATCAGTCATCAAGAAATGGGGATCTCGTTTGCTAATAAGCCAACCTAAAACTTTAAACCTCCCTCTCCCTCTCCTCAAACCTTCAATACATTGGAATTCCTGAGAGCCACTGACAGAGGTGGAGGTAATGGGTGCTGTAATCTGCAACATGAAAACTGACACCTCTTTGTGATTGGAATTTTCTCATGTATTGCGTATTAGAGAATGTTACCTTTCTTGTCTGCAGGGGAAGAAAACCAAAAGAGCTATTTCAATTGCCATCTTGCCTTTTCTGCTTAGTTTGATGTGATGGAGGGAAAGAAAGATTCCACAGGATGCAGGATTCAGGGAAGGTGGAATCAGATCCTTGGTAGCAAAAGTCAGCAGGTGGCTTCCTGAATGCTCTTTAATGTTCAAAGCACCCTCCCTCTTTAGCATGTCCTTGTCTGTAGGGTCCCCTTTAGTGAAAGTGTTTTGCCTCCTTTACTCCTCATGCCACCTCTGTGAAAGAAATCCTTCTGCCTCTGTCAGATGAGACCTGCAGTTAGCCTAAGGTCACAGAACTGGACAGTAAGTAGACAGGTGAGCCCAGTCTGCCTCCAGAGTGAATGATTCCTGGGCTGTGAGGGGTGCTTGGGCATTGCAGCTCACACTTGGAGGCAGAACCTGGCCTGAGTTCTACAAAGCAGTTGTAACTGGCACTGGAATGAGGGTCACGCCTGCCAGGCTGGATGAGTGTGGGGTTGACTGCAAAGCCCCGTTGTTGCACACAACTCTAGAAGGCACCGGTCTAGGTAAATGTGCCTCTGGAATTATGCAATGGCAGTGTCCTGGCAGCAGAGGGAGCCCGCTTGATTCAGGCTGTTCAGCGTCTATTGGGATGCTGGGTGGGCAGGCCCACCTGTTGCCTGAAGGCATTTCCTCTGCTACAGCGTATGGTTTTCCGGGCATCACTGCACCAAGATGGTTTATCTGGCAAAGGAGTCCATCCCTACTTTGTCAGCTAGGCAGCCAGGTCCCATCTCCCCCTAGATCAGTGAATTTGACTTCCTTTGAAAAGACTGGGCTGGTGGAGGGCTCAGTCCTGTCAATACAGGTCTTTGTCACTTCATCCTTTGTGTGGGAGAACTACAGCTTTGAACGTCCCCTTACTGCATCACAGTTACTTTACATTGGGCCTCTTCTCAGGGCTAGGCAAGAGGGTAAGGCACTTTATGCTTATCAGTTCACTTAATCATAACAGATCTAGGTGAGCAGGATTCATTTTATCAGTGAGGGTAATGATGCCCCATGTAGCTACATGCCAAAGGCAAGCACAGCAAGGACCCAAACCCAAATCTAACTACAGTGTTAACCAAAATTAGAGGGCTACACTTCTAGGGATTGTTTTGCTTTTTGGTTTTTTGTCTTTGGCAGCTGGCTGGTATAGGGATCCAAATTCTTGGAGTTTAAAACAATCTAGGCCCTGCCCCAAAACAGCTGAAGGATTGCCAGTAAATCAGTTCACTTCTCTGTACCTGTTTCATTGGTGAAATGTTAATGTGTAATCACAGGCACCCATTGAGGCCTGTATGAAAAGCAAATGAGAGACGGATGAGAAAATCAAAATGTCTTGTACATCTTGAAGGCCCCTTTGCCCTTGTTAGTCTCTGGGCTTCCAGTTAGATTAACATTCATTCTGTAGGGCTGGCCTGGTGGCGCACTCCGTAGAGTGCGGTGCTCCCGCCGAGGGTTCGGATCCCATATAGAGACCGGTCCGCTCACTGGTTGAGCCCGGTGCGGGCGCGACACCGAGGGTTGTGACCCCATTACCGGTCATGAAAAAAGACAAAAAGGAAAAAAAAAAAACATTCATTCTGTGCCAGGAACATGCATTGTCTCATTAACTCTTCACTATAGCCTACTAAGATAGGTCCTTTTATTATAGTGATAAAAGCTATTTCACTTGACTGTTGTATTAAATGAAATAATGCACATAAAGTGCTTAGCAATGTTCCATTACGTGAAAATACTCAATGAATGGTAGCTGTTATCATTAGACCAAGAAAGACCTGCCTAGGGTGGAGGCACTAGGCTGGTGGCGTATTGACCATGGACTCCAGCCTTGTAAAATGCACAGGCCCTGCACCTCCCACATCTAACCACCAGAGGGTAGATGACTCTTCTACACAAAACCTGAGGCAGTTCCCCTGTCGCCCACCAGAAGGCGATCCAGCAGGGCTGCTGAACGCTGCAGGCCGTAGCGGCAGCAGCCCTTCTCTGACTGGTCCTTTGCCTTCAGTTGGGCTCAGCTTCCCAGGAACCTAACCAACCCAGATGAGACAGGCTGAAACCAAGTTAATAAATACAATTCAGAATTTATTAAAAATCAGGGTTCCCCTGCTGTGTCCTCCTGGCATTAAGGAAATAAATAACCAGAGGGGGCACAGCTGGGGAAAGGGGAAGAGAAATCAGATCTCAAGGCAGATTCTTTTAACTACCCCTCCCTTTCCCAACTCCCCCCTTATGGCTCTTGGGACATAGCACCTGAGCAGGCACCTCAGTCCGGGTGGAGTATGGCCAGCACCAAGGCATGTCTGCCTTACCTGGGAGGGGAGACAGGCCCTGGGGTCACTTGTTTCCAGCCCTTGATGACCCCGAGACCTGCTCACCCCACCAGGGGCTAGGGCTGAAGCACCAGTTGGAGGCACCTGAGGGTGGTTGGGGGTAGAGAGAACATGATAACAGAACCTAGGCAGCAGAAGGAGCTGAAAGGGGGGTCCGGCCCCTTCTCCAGATTCAGCCACTGCCTGACTGAGCTCATGTCCTATCCTGTCCTCCCCTCGAGCCCCGCCTGCACTCAGCTGAGGATCTTTCGGGGCAGTTCAACAGAGGCACGGATGAAGACTGCATCATCCCGCACATAGTTTCGCTTTCGGATGTCCTGGTGGGAGATGAACTTGGGGTAACCAAAGCCCAGAGAACTCTCATCCAAGGAGCCCCGCCACGTGCCTGGCTTTTGGAAATTCTTCCAGTTTGGGTCAGGGTGGAAGGTCTCAGTGACATGCTGTGGTTTAGCCAGCCCGGGGTCGCTCTGATCCAGCAGGGAGAAGGTGACGCGGCGGGCAAAGGGCCACTCAAGGAGATTGTCAAAGGCGCCTGGCAGTACACGAATGTAGAGGGAGAGGTGTGTGCCCTCACCACTGCCATTGCCATTAAGGAATGCAGACACCTGAAGCTTATAACCATACTTATGCGTGTAGAAGGCCGGGCTGAAGCACTCGAGGTTGGGCTTGGCCTTAGCCTCCTGTAGCCTCCGCCCATAGCTGCTGATCTTCCAGATGAGCACGCCATCACTGCCCACCGATAGCTCCTCCAGCTCTCGCCGCAGCTCCTGAAGCTCCTGCCGTTGCCGGCTCACCAGGGCACACATCATCGCCAGATGCGGCTTCACACTCTCCTCCACGTGCCGTGCCATTGCCAGCTTAGGGCACTGTTGGCAAAGCCCCAGGCCATGGGGGAAGAAGGAGAGTTATCAGTAGGGGAAAACCCGGGGAGAGGAGCTGAGCAGGTGTGGGGTAGCAGGCACCCAGCTCTGGATGAAGACGACAGAGGGTGCTAGGAAGGCTGGAGCTGGCCAGCAGGGAGAAGGACTGAAGGCTTCAGCGTAGCAAAGCAGGAACCACTGAGGCTTAGGGTGCATCAGGAAGCCTAGCCTCCATCTAGGGCTATGAAGGTAAAGCGGGGACTGACAGGATGGAGAAGGGGCATCTCACCCTGTGCTTGCAGCCGGAGTCTTTGAATGGGCACAGCACCAGGGCAGTGCTACAGCTGTCCTTCAGATGGCCCGGCAGATCCTCCCTAGCAATGGTGCCCACACCACACTGGTTAGGGCAGGGCACAGGCAGCCTTGGGCACTGGTACTGGTGGCTCTGGGGCCGCAAAGGCAGAAAGGCAGTGGTCAATAGCCTGACTCCCTGTCATCTGCCCCACAGCCTACAGCTCAGGAAGGGCCTCACCTGGATGGTGTCAAAGACAAACTCCTTGGTGCAGTAGGTGCAAGGCTGAGTGCGCTTGGGGCACTCAGAGGTGGCATGCTGGGCCAGTAGCCGCCGCATCATGCGGGCACCACACTTGTTTTCACAGTACACACTCTCTTGGGGGCACATGCCTTCGTGGCTCTGTGGAAATGCAAGAGGTGCTAAGTTAAGGGATGCCTGGGCCATCAGGTGCCCCACCCTCCCTTTGACCTCAGCCAGGCCCCACCCACCTCATAGGCCTCCCCACTGAAGTCACAGCCACAAAATTCGCACTTGAGGCGCCGCTTGGGGCAATCGTGCTGCAAGTGTGCAGGCAGATCACGGCGGCTCAGCTTGGTGGGGCAGCGATTGGGGCAGGGCACCACGTTGAAGCTGCAGGTATTCAGGTGGCCCTGGTAGGAAGGGCTGCAGTTAGTGCCTGCTGAGGGAGGGGTAGTCCCGGTCCCTGACATCAGAGCCTCACCTGTAGGTGACGCAGGGGCCCGCTCCAGCGGCAGCCCTCCTCACTATGGATGCAGCGGATAGGCAGGCCCAATACCTGTACTTCCAGCTCTGGGTCAGGGTAGATCTGGGGGTAGGAATGGGGGGAATTGGCCAGAGTCAGAGCCTGCTGCAGTCCCCAACCCTCCCGCCCCAGCTCAGTGGGCGGGCTCTACCTCAGAGCCAGTGAGAGCCTCTCTGGGGCTATTTGCCCCTCAGATGCCTAGGGATGAAGGGCACAGCAGGTGGTGTCTGCTCTGATGAAGGATCCCAACATGCCTGCACATGACACTCCCTTTGGAGAGGCAGCCAATCAGCTTGCTTGGTCCCAGGTTGTCTCCTTACCCTCTGTTTCCTTCTCCCCTGGTGGGGTCCTGGCCCTCAGCCACAGGTCTGGCTTGCCACCGGAAGGGGAGGGAGCACTTCTGTGGGCACAGAGCAGCTCTGTGCACTCCCCACAGGCTGGGCATTGTGCCTGCCCTCCAGGGCAAACAGAGTTTGCAAACTGGCCGGGTGGGAGGGAACAGGCTACCTTTGTGGGGGCGCATGATCCCAAGGCTCTGGTTGATATTGGCTCTGAGCCAACTGGCTGCCAACCACCAGGGACAACAGCCTGTATCTGGGCTTTGGCCTGGCAATGTGGACTCACCTTGGCATAGTCCAGAGGAAGTTGGTCCTCAGGGCATTTGAAGACTCCTTCACTGAAAAGGGGGCAGGGTCAAGGCTTCTCATTATGGGAAGGGGGAGCCCTGGGCCCCACCCCCTTAGCCAGGGCAGCCTCCCTCCCTCACCAGACCGGTTCCCAACCAGCCCCAGCTGAGACAAAAGGGCAATCAGAGGCCTGGGCGGCCCACTTCCGCAGGACCCCACTAAATCCCAGTCTCTGTCCTGGGGGGGGGGGTTCTGGGCTCAGTGGTGGCACAGACAGCTGCCTCAGACAGCACTTGGCCAACAGGTGGCAGCTGGCACCCCCTCCCCCCAGAATGGCAGCTGGACTGGGAAAAGAACAGGCTGCCCAGCTACCCCCTCCCCCCAGGTTAGTTTTTATTGGCTGGGCTGAAAGCTGATGGGGAGGGTGAACAGGGATGGGCTGAGATTAAGTGCCAGGGCTGCCCAGCCACCATGAAGGTCCCTGGCCAAGAACCAGGGCAAAGGTCATCTTGGGGCCACCTTACCCCATCCCTCTCCTCCTTCCTTGAGGGTGTGTCTCCTAAAGAAAAGTCAGGGAAAGGCACAATCCCCAGCACTGTGTTTACACTTCTACCCAGTCCTCACTGGTGGCCTCTGAGAAGGGGTGGAATGTTCCCATTTTACAGGGGCTCACAGTTGAAGAAGCACATGGGAGAGAGGCTGGGGCATGAAAAAATGCCCAGGCAAGCATAGCCAAGGCTCTGGTCACTGCTTGGTGGGCTTCTGAAGTTTGTTGACCCTGCTCACCCTGCCAGCTGCCCTCCTTCTACGCCAAACTCCACCTGGCTGTTAGCACCCAAGGAGTCTGTCCTGCCAACATGCCCTTGCTGACCCCAGCCAGGACCAGTCACACATGACTGACATGGCCCAGGCAGGGCAGGGGCTCTCCAAGCAGAACTGAAGGCCCTCGGGCATGGCATTCCTGGCAGGTCTGAGTCAGGTAGGTGGGAGGCAGGGAAGGTTCAAGGTGGAACAGAGGCCACATAGCAGCCCTGCTCTGAAGGCACTTGCCAGGGCAGTCCATGCCCCAGGTACCCAAAGGATTTCTAGCACCCACCTCCTCCCCGACTCCACTACCACTGGCCATGTTACCAATGCCAAGAACAATACATGCCCAAACACTGAAGGGATGTGCTCCTGCCCACAGGACAACCAGCCTTCCTGGACCAACCTGAGTAATAGCCCTGGCAGGAGTAGAGAAAGAAGGGTGGGCCAAGGGGGAAAGGGGTCCACTTGGCTGCTTCAGGAATGTGCTGACTTAGTGGTTTGGAGACAGGGAGGGGACTGAGGCATGTCCCCAGGCTTAAGGCAGAAGAAGCTTAGCCTGTAGCTTGGGGCCCAGCCAGGACAAAGGTTCGGCCGGGACAATGGACGCCCTTGCTTATAGGGTAGGGAGTGATGGTGAGGGGCAGAGCCTGCCGAACCACCTCTTCCCTCCAGAAGCCTCAGCAGCATAGCTCAGGCGCTGGGGGAGGGGGAGAGACAGGGGCAGCGGCTGCTCGGAGCTGTGCAGTGGAGGCCCAGGCCCAGGGGAGAAGACAGGATGGGGGGAGGGGCTGTGGGAGAGGAAGAGGGGATTTCCGGGAGGGGGAGGGACAGAAGCAGCAGAGAGGGGACTGAACAGGCGGAGGTGGTGGAGGGAAACGGGCTTGACAGCCCCCTCCCCCGCTCCTTCCCCGAGGCAGTCTGGGTGGGTCAGCTGGGGGTGGGGGGTGGGGGGGCTCAGCTGGCCTCATCTGGAAACCAGAGGGCCGGGGAAGAGCAGAGGAGGAGACAATAGGACTGTGTGTCTGTAGGAGAGTAAGTGTGTGCACTGCCGCGAGGAGGGAGGAGGGGGAGGGGGAGGGAAAGGGGGGAGGCAGCGGCACAGCGGCTGTACAGGAGCATATGTGAGGGCAGGAGCCGGCCCGGCTGTGGGGGAACAGAAAACAAAGGGCCTGCGGAGGTTTCCGCCAGCTAGGGGCTGCCGTGGGCCGAGGGAGGGGGCACCGCGGGCAGGAGCTCCAGAGGTGCCCTCCCGGCCTGGGCCCCTCGGTCCCGTCAGCGCGGCAGCCTCCTGCCATGGCTGACCCAACCTTCCCTGTGCTCTGGGGGCACGACCTCCCAGGAGTGGGTGCCCATTCATCTTGCCTCTGCACACGCGGGCCTGAGCACTTGCCAGCGTGGGCAGCAGACTAAAGACCACAGGGCGCCCAGAAACTTCGGATGCCCAAGAACCAAGGGGCGACCTGGGTTCTGAGAGCAGGGGGTGTTCAGTAACAACCGGGGTGCGACCCCCTCCCTAACCGTTTATTGACTACCCGCCGTACTCAAGACCCCCAGGAGAGGAGAGAGACACCTAAAGGAGTCCGGCCTCGGGGGAGGAGGACTGTAGCGTCACAATCCTCCCTCTATTGTGTGTCCACAAGCAGCGCGGACTTATTAAATCCCAGAGAAGCCCGTAAGTAACTGCGCGACCCTGCGCAAGTCTCAGCCTTTCTCTGGATCTCTCGTTTCATCATCTGTGCAATGGGAGAACAATAGCTGCCGTTCTCTGGACGTTCGAAGAATCAGAAGAGGTTAGAGGGGTGAAAACTCCGGAGAATTAAAGTGCTGCACGGCACAGAGGGTTTGTCCTCCTCTTCCGGCCGGGATTCAAAGTTCAAGGATGAGGCCGCTCTGGCTCTCAGGTGAGGGTAAGGGCCGGCCACAGGTCAGGAAGGGCGTCCCTCCCATCTCCTCCCCTCAGGAGGGCACGGAGTTCTGCCCACCTGGCGCAGGGCAGGTGGGGCCCGGGACCCTAGGGCCTAGTGCGTGGGGTCCTCCCTCGGGGCCTGACGTCACCACCTCCCCGTTACGTCACGGTGGGCGCCCCTGAGGTCACAGGGCGGCGGCGCAGACAAAGGCCCGGCGTGCGTGGGGCCTGAGTCTCTTCCCCGGCTGCGCCCCTTTTCCCCGCCACCGGCCTTCCCCCGCTCTCCCGGCCCCGCACCTGAGGAACTCCTGCAGGCAGGTGTCACAGAAGCGATGGCCGCAGGTAGAAACTTGCACGGGCTCGCGCATGGGCTTTCCGCACAGCGGACACAGCAACCTCCGCTTGGGCTTCTCCAGGAACTTGTAGTCGAAGCCGGGCATGGCGGGCTCGGGCGGGCAAGCGAGCGAGCGGCGGGCACGGGCGAGCGGGGCCGGGCACGCGGCGGCCCCACA